TGAATGAGTTTCAAATGAAATAACAGCTATCAAATAGCTGTTTTTTATTATGAATATTATATATCATTTTTATTTTTTTAAAAAACTTAAACTTCTTCAGCTCTATTCTCTCTGCATATTTTCATAGCTCAAAAGTAAAATGATAAATGATAAAAATGATTTTCAACTTTAAACTCTGTGTCAGTTATATAATGAAAAATAAATTAAGAATAGAAATTGCTAAACAGAAGAAGATATGAATTGATATTTTTAATTTATTATTATTTTTATTTAATTTTTCAAATTTTTAATGAAAATTGATAATTTTTATTTTTTTTTTAATATATTCTTTTCACTTCTGTTAACTTTTGAGCTAATCATTTGATTAATTTTTATCATTAGATAAAACTTTAACAGCTTGTCAAAGATTTTTAAACTGTTATAACCTACAACAATACGAATTTTAAAGAGACTATACAAGATGAAATGATTGAGTATAATGATTATATAATTGCAATGATTACTGCTGCGGTGATTATTTCCTCTGCAATTTCAAAATCTGATCTGACTCAGATCACATATGATTTCACAAAATTTTTAATATTGAAAGAAATCATTGATACATCTGATGTGACAGATAATGATTATGAATTTCAAAAGAAAATAACATTGTGTTTTATTTCTGATACTGTTTGAAAGGTTTATGATGAAAGAGTTAAAAGAGTTTTCAGTACTGCAGATGTTTTATTATTTTAAATGCCTGTTCCTGATACACTTTCTGTGTATAGAATGCGTTTTCAACAGCTGGGAGTTATTTTTAAAAATGAGAGCACTATTGCAGAAACTATGAGAGTTCATAAGAAAATATTTAATAGTTATTTTGATTTATCAAAAAATCATACAGCATTTTCAACTCATCTCTTTCCAATGTATAAAAATGCTTTGATTATCAAACTCATTCAATCTATTAAGATAGAGCAGTTGAAATTTACAGATATATTTGAACAATACAATTGACTTCATTCCGTTTCTGAATAATTTCATATTCAAATAAATCTACTCTTTATCATTGTCTGTACTCACTTTAAAGTAGAGGTTTTTGAAGAGGCTCATCACCGTATTCAATCTGATCTTGTTTGTTGAAACTGAAATTCTATAACTTTCATCAATCTTAAATATCATTTTCTTGAACTGATGATTTCTCAGAGCTTTGGATTCCGAAGTTTGGCGCTATTTTATTTTGCCATACAGTATTGAGATTATTTAATTGTTAATCATGAGCACTCAGAAGATATTGGTATTATTATACATTAATTTAATTCTTCACTGTATCTTTAATTTATTGAAAATGTATACATCAAAACATTTACTCTTGATATCTGAACAGAAACTGACTCTCAAATCTCTCAAGTCACTCAAAATATTAAATTTTGTACAATGTGTTACCTTCTCTGTGAATTCAAATTATTCATTTGAATATGCTATGCTGAAGTCTTGAAAAATACACTGAAACTGCTTGGAAAGTGCTTGCTCTGAACTGAGTAAAATATGTGTATATTCACATTGTTGAATATGTTTGAGTAAATACTCTTCTCTTTAAAGATTGTTAACACTGATCAGATAAAAATTGATAGAGAGAAGCTGAGCTATATCACTTATCTACTGATCATCAAATTTGTTTAGAGAAATCAGTTGAATGATTATCTTCTCTGTCAGAATTGTATAGAATTAAAGAATAAGATTCTTTTCATAATCAATTCTGATAATGAATAAAGTGTCACTATATTCATATATAATATATTGAAGTATATAAACTTGTTTTATATATAATTGAAGAGTGCACTTAGAATCTGAATGCAGGTTTTGAAGAATTTATTAAAGACAATATTCAATAACATTCTATTGTTTATCAATACTTTCAAATTCACTGTAGCTTATAACAATTTATGATATGTCTTCAATTTTCATGAAAAGTATTTATTTTAATGATAACTTTTGAAGCTGCTGTTGTTACCGACTTTTATATTTTCTTTGTAAGAGATGGGCTACAAGAGTAATTACAAGAGTAGTGTGAAGTACGCACAAAGGATATTAAGAAGGTAGCAATCTCTATTGTTCAAAGCTAATCGCTGATCTCCTAAAATCCACGGATATCAGCGAGCATTATATAGATAATATTGCCATCGCCACGTATCTATCGCCACGTATCTATTTCCTAATATAGATATCTCCGTTGCGCCTATTACATTCTTTGATCTCTCTTAATTATATTCAACAGAGTTGTCTGATTCAGCTGTTAAAAAGAAATGTTATATGATTGATTTAAAAGTTGTTGAAAGATCTCATAAGTTGTTGAAAGATCTCAGAAGTTGTTGAAAGATCTCAGAAGTTGTTGAAAGATTTCTAATATTATTAAAAATTGATATGTTATATAAAATGATCAAGAATTATATTAAATTGATGAAAGTTGTTAAAAGTTGTTGAACATCAATGCGGTCATCAGATAGCGCTTTGATGTGGGGATTTAAAATGTGTGGGTTTGAAATCTACAAAAGAACATCATTACATTCAAAGTCAACTTCTCAGCTTTTAAAATAAAGAGATATGAATTTGTTAAATACATATCTTCAGATGAATTTACTATCTGATTTAATTTATTATTTTTGAGATGAAAATCTATATTATGAATATTAAATTCTATCTTTCATTAATTTTTCTATATTTCTGTTATATTTTTGACATCATTCAACACTAAGCATTTCTTTTGTATAACCAACTCTTGCTTGTATTTAACATTACACAAGAACTCATCATAAGCACTGTTTGTATATGAATATAACAGAAGAAGAATAATAATAATAATTAAAAAATGTCAGAAATCATCAGAAAATACATTTGATATTTTAATTAAAATTATTGATGATTGAATATATGTTTTAATGGCAAGATCAAGACATTGAATGACTAGATATGATCATGATTGAAAAATTAACAAATCATTCCCATATTCAAAATCAGAGTAACAGTTTTCAATGTGATACTTCATACTCACAATATATGTATTTTTGAATAAAAATTAGTTCAATTGATAGAAAATTGAAAAATTAACCCTTCAAAGTGGTAGAGAAATGGTCTATAAGTGAGGTTGTACAGTGATTCTATCTCAAATGTTATGGTTGGAGCAAATCATTCCTGTGTTGCTAACAAACTGGAACTGTTTTTTCTCAGACGCTCCGCGAAGAGTTTGCTGAGGATGTCCCATTTAGGTTTAGTGTAAGCCCCTTGACAGTTGATTGGCTCAGATGTTAGCAGGACTTGGCAGTAGTTCGGATCGGGTTAGCTTGAAGTGGAGTGGCTGAGTTTTACTGAGATAAGGTGGAACGCTATTGTTATCGAATAAATTGACCAGCATGATCAGCGTTTCATTAGCCAATCCAATCATAAATGAAGATTACATCTGAGGCAGGCTACATTCCAATAGGGGATATCTGTCAGCTGCTATCATAAGGTCGATTGCCTAGTTGTAATAGCATCAACATCCAGTTCCCTAGTATTCCAAGATTTAGTCCCTGATTCGGCCCCTAAGCGGCTGGCTCTGCAACCTTGCCGTTGATTTCCTTCAGGCAGACCTCGCTGTGGTTAGAAATAAAACATCAGCCACTTGGACCATGCAAAGAGCAGGATGTTTTTAACAAACACCAAAGTCGAACCGGGTGGAATGAGGCCCGGAAATCCCCTAAGTTGGATCAGTAATGTACCTGGCTGTAGGCGAAGCGAATACATACCTATTCCCATAGGCATACGGAGTAGTCAGTACTGTATATATGTAATTTGCAACAACCTGGTCACGAGCGCGCTAAGCCTGATTTGGTGTGCCAAGGGTTTGGGGCGTGTGATAGCTGAGGTAAGCGCTCTATCGCGTAACTAGTTATGGGTTGGGTGTTAGGCGACTCGTGTCTAGTCCCAACTTATGCTATTTGCCCTCGATCTTTCGCCTGTATTGAAAGTTTTTTTTCCCACAAGAATATGATGCCACCAGTCAATCAATCAGTTCTACAGCCTTCCCCGAACCGATGGCGCCTCGGATCGCGAATCGAATGCGAACGAATCGAAACGCAGGCTCCGCCAGCAGGCGTCCTTGCAGCTTGGAGTGATGGAGACTGCTCATATATGTTGCGGAAAATGTCAGCAGATAGTGCACCACCTGAGTCTCAAGACCATGTTTCCAAGGAAGTTCATCTGGTACATGAGGGTGGCAGCTCCTCAGCAGTGTGGGCTATTGGCAAAAGCGCCTTTTGCAAAGTCAAATCCTGGCATCCTAGCATGGGGCTTGAGGGGGAGACAATCGCATTTGTTAGGGAACACGTACCTCAAATCCCGGTACCGGAAGTTATTTATTCCTGGATTGATGAAGATCGGACATTCTTGATTCTCAAGAGAGTTCAAGGTGTGACATTGAGAGATGCATGGTCGTCGTTTTCTTCCTTGCAGCGTGACTTGGTCCTCAGGAAAATTGCAAGTATCTGTGACCTACTTGCTTTGAAGACTTCAGCAAAGCTTCAGAGTGTATCCGGAAATCCCTTGCCTGAAAGGTTCCTCGCAGTCGCAAAAGATGGCTTCCTGGGACCTCTCACACCAACTGAGAGTTTGGAATATTTTACTGTCCCAGACTCCGACCTATGTCCCGAAATCGGAAAGGTTTTTTATCAATGCCATGCAGATCTTGGTCCGGGAAATATTATGGTGTCCAAAGA